GTGTGTGTGTGTGTGTGTGTGTGTGTGTGTGTGTGTGTTATGGATATCATATGCCTTGTGCTTTTTTCTATCAGATTGCAGAGCATGAAGAAGCTGCGTACTACAAGAATCATCTTGTGAAGATCTACTGCTCTCTTGTCCGTGGAATTGTGGGACGAGCGCCGCCAATCCAGATCCAGCATCCTGAAGTGGCCGATCCTCCTCCTCCTGATGTCGGCAGCATTGGCGGCCTCGACCACTGTGCTGCTGGGCAATTTATGTCCAATCAAATGTCTTGGAGGGGCAATCCTGCGACTCACACTCAGGCGCTGTTTGGTTCTCCTATTGCTGCACAATCCAGGTATGGTACACTACTACACTGTTTCATAAATTTTACACACAGGAGTAAGAAAAAAAAAAAAAAAATAGCACACAGGTGCTCTGCAACCTACTCCCCTTTTGAGCTGTGGTGTGGAAACAAAAAACAAAAAAAAATTGTAGGTGATAAACAACCGGACTGCTGCGGCCCAGAATAGAAGGGGCTTTGCTTTGTTTCGAAGAAAAAAAAAACAAAAAAAATTACACACAGGTGACAGGAGTGAAAATATGATGGATTCTTCAATCACAACGTTTCTTGATGCACATGGTTGGCACTTAACCATGATTGTATAGTATGTATATACGATCGGTCTGTGCACAAAGGACGTTTCTTGGTCTGTTTTGTTTTTTTTCCTTCTTTCTTTTTTTAGTTTATTGGTTTATTAGTTGAAATTAATAAATTATCCAAGTATGGCGAGTGCAGCAACGCACACACACTTTGAGGATTAGTTCTGTTTGTTTTGTAAAATACATAAATTGTTGACGCTCCCTAGAATGGATATATGGAGCCAGGACCGTAAGGCCCTGTTTAACTCAAAAATAAATAATAATAATAAAATTTTTAAAATCATGGATTAGATTAGTAGGATTACCTGGTACAGTAACTATAAATAAAGTTCAATAAACAAATTGAAAATCTTTGAAAAGAAAAAAAAACTAAAAAGCTAGGCTACCGGAGTGGCCAGGGGCCACGTGCCCGGCCGGGCCAAAAAATAAAAATAAAAATAAAAATAAATTAAAAATATAAATACTTTTTAACTTTACTTTTTATTAGAAATATGGTAAAGTATTCCGATGCGGCCCTGAGGCAAAAGTTGTTCAGTTTATTTCTCGGCATAACATAGTTTTTTAACTTTTTTATAGTTTTTTAACTCTTTTTTCGGTTTTTTTTTTTTTCTTCTTCTTCTTTTTCTTTTCTTCCGCTAGGACCTTCCCAGGTCCTTGTAGTTTTTTTTCGGTTTTTTTTTTTTTTTTTTTTTCCCACTAGGACCTTCCCTGGTCCTTGCACGGCCGGGGCGTTCCGGAAAATAGGGTGACCCGGGCGGCCCGGCTGGTAGCCTAGCTCAAAAGTCTAAAATAGTAAAATGCAAGGAAAATGAGCGAGAGCGATAGTCAGAAAACCAAATTGCAATATCACGTTGAAGACCAGATACTCTGATATGAGTCATATGACCCTTTTTTCCCGACTCTTTTGCTATTGAAATTTTGAAAAGGGTTTGACTAAAGAGCCATCAGTCAACACAGTTGTGGCTGTATACCCTTGTTCTACCGGCTTCACCCAAATAGACAGCCCGGTCGTTATAGCTGCATTTGGGCCAAATCTCAGACCAGATGCAGCGATAATGACCCCGCGTTTTATTTTGGTGAAGATGGTAGCAGCTAGGTACAACTCAATGAAGGTTTAATCATGCGATGTGTTTGCCAAGGTTGAGCTTCCACTAGCAGGGATTACGAGAGATCGACCTTCGGGGGAACCGGAAAAAAAAAAAAAAACGAAAAAAAAAAAGAAAAAAAAAAAAGGGAAGAGATTGACCTTCGATCCTCCTGATCTACGCTGAGCATCTCTCAGTCTGTGATAGTGGAAATCTTTTTTTTTTTTTTTTTTTTTTACAAACACATTGTCATTTCATTACAAAAACAATATGATAGTGGAAATCTTGGCCGGGGTACAACTTAGTGAAAAAACAAAAGAAAAAAAAGAAAAGAATTTGAGTACATGGCAATGATGACACACTCGCCGATGATTTTTTAGTATTTTTACGTGATTTTGGTTATGGCAGGCATAATGACTTGTGGACAGCAACAGCTTCGACTTCTTCCTCCCCTCCTTGCTCCCATTCGAAAGATCCACTGCCATCAAATGGCCGCCCCAATTCGACGGTCGATCCGGCAAGCTCCCAAACAGGCGTGTTCGGTGCCTCTACCTCAGACTCGGTTATTGCCGCTGCAGAAGGATGCTATCTACACGACATCTTCACGTCTGACGAGATTCCGCTGCCGACAATCAATGGGTGCGGTGTCAGACCTCGTCTCTTTTTTTTCTTTCTTTTTGTTTGTTCTTTTCGCCAGAGACCCGAACTCAACCATGGCCTTCTCTTCACTTCACACAAGTCGTCGGCTAAGACTCGGCTTTGTAGCCTTCCTCCTCTCGCTGCCCCTCCTTACTTATTCCCCTCCCTCCCCTGCTTTGTCTTCATGAACTTTCTCTTCGTCATCTTCCTCTTCTTTGTCATGCTCCACCTTACCTCCTCCTCCTCCTCCTCCTCCTCCTCCTCCTCCTCCTCCTCTCGCCCATCCTAACCAACTTTTCTTTTTTTTTTCCCTTTTTTTTCATTTGTTTATTTTTTTCCTTCGTTTTTGTCGTTTCTATAACTCACACCACCTCTTTTACTTATTGTCCTCCCCTTCTGCTTTCTCCTTTTGCTCCTCTCTACTGCTTGCGCACCCATTCACCTCCACCTTCTTCTCCTGTTCATTTCCCTGACCCTTTTCTCTCTGTTCTTTTGTTACTCTTATTCTTTTGTTCTGCATTTTCTTTTTCAACACGACAAAAGGCATATTTGTTATTTCTTCTTACCATCATCATTCCTCCTGGGGAGGAGCTGTGCTCGTGGGGGAGCCCCACTAGCGGCAGGATTGATGTATGCCTGACCCTCCGTGACAGGTCTGTTTTGTACAGCGAAAGCATGGAGCAACTAACCCCCTCTCTCCCCCCCCGGCTGCCTTCTTCCCCCCCACCGCTCTCTCCCCCCACTCCCCCCCCAAAAAAAGGAAAGAGTGGTGCTACCCAGGAGTAATTGAATGTGTTAAGCAAGGAGTAATGGAGTGGTTGTATGCATCCATCATCTCTCTCTCTCTCTCTCTCTCTCTCTCTCTCTCTCTCTCTCTCTCTCTCTCTCTCTCTCTCTCTCTCTCTCTCTCT